GTTTCGCAGATTTGGAACACAGATTTGAGATCAGCGTTCGAAAGCACCTACGGGGGTATACTTCTCATCTTGAATGGCCACTGCGACCAATTATCCTTCCCTTGTTAGTCAAGGGATATTTGCAGAGAGCCTAGCATTAGAAGTGATATTTGCTAGAAGGTCGTGGATGACGGGATGGGGAACAAAAAATCATTTTTTCCTTTTTCAGAAACAGAGGAATGTCGTTCCATAGGCCGGCTGTCGGTTTTTGAAAACAGGGGACGTCCGCTTCGATGAGTTTCGTCGGAGCAAATCTCTTTTGAGTGGAAGCGGTCGTGCTATTTGTGGTACAGAAAAATAGATAAATAGAAAAATAAATAGAAAGGATGTACCACTGCTTCATTAGTCACCATACCTCATTCCAAGACTGAGTGACGGAGCGTTCATTTTCGTTATTGCGAAGTAGAAGGCCCCGAGTGTCTTGCTGATGGCACATAGTAAATTTGATGATTACTTACCTTACTAATTACAGCTTACAGACGCTTCGGCTTTTCATGCGACGGCCAAGCAGAGTTTATTAGGAAAATCCAGGCCGGGCCTTTTCCAACTATTTCCTAGTTTAGTAGGAAATTTCGGACCCGGCCTTTTTCAACGATTCCTTGAGAGCAGCAACAATGGTGTATTCTGAAGCGCACGTTTTTCCTTTTCAGCATACCCACAAGCCCCTTGGATTATAAGCCGATAAACTCGTAGGCCAATTGAAAGAAGGGATGAAATTTCTAACATCTCTTCAGGACTAGTCTTGATCTTTTTTAGGCAAGAGCTTCGAGAGCAAGTGCGCGAATGTTTCCGAATTTTTCAGAGTATTTCCTCAATGAGATGTCGAATTTCATACTTTTCTTGACAGAAATAGGCGATATCGCTCTGATGGCACAGATTCCAGCCTCAACCATCACAGAAGAGCGAAAATAGCAACGAGAAACGATATGACCCTTATTAGCTTCCTCGCCTGTTGTAGTGAGAAAAATATGTCCACTCTGGAATTTGAACATGTCCTCCATGCTGAACATTTTTTCGTCAGAAAAAGAGTCGTAGTGCGTGTCGACTGCGAGTAGGGTACGACATTTCCTTTCACTCCTGGATTTCTTCTTGTGAGAAACTTATTAAACTTTTGAAACCCGTTTGAGTCTAATTGTACCAGTCGGGCCGCCGGGCTAAGCCGGGCTTCTTTTCTTCTTATGGGTTCGCCCGGCTACGCCAGGTGCTCCTCCTTCCTGTGAAAAAATTTGCTATGCATAAATAGCACTTCGGATTCACTTTTTTCTTTGAAAGCTCTACACCCTCAGTATTTGCTACGAACTGGAGCGATTTTTTTCTGTAAGCCATCTTCGCTGTGTCCGAATAGAACGTCGCATGATATCACAAAGGCGATTGTTCAGTCTGAGTCTACTATGTTAGCTACCATCACTGTTCCCAGCCAACTCCTTGTGCCTTCACGTTTTGACGGTCTGGGTCCGAACTAACAGTATTTATTCCGCCCCGCCTTTTGGGGTGGACTAGTCCTGCAACCCACCATCAGTGTACCTATCCTGCCTTCTGTATTCCTACCCAGTTTGGTTGCTCTAGGTCCATTTTGACATTTCTCTGCAAGCCCCGCCCCTAAGGGAGTTAGGATTTTCCGCTCAAACCCCGCCCTTTGTGAGCGGAGTTCGTTCTTGTCACCCATCATAAGTATTCCCTTCCTGCCGCCTGTGCTCATACCAAATTTGAACTTTCTAGGTCCACAGGGTCAGAGGTTATGAATTTCTGCGCGTACCGCGCCCATTGTGGGCGGAACTCAATCCTGCCACTCATTATAAGCGTTCCCATTCTATCTAAGGTATTCCTACCAAAGTTGAACACTCTAGGTCCACGGAGACGTGAGTTATGATTTCCCGCACAAACCCCGCCCCCTGTAAGTGGAGTCCGGTCCCGCCACCCACCATAAGTGTTCCCATGCTGCCGCCTGTACTCCTACTAAGTTTGAACTCTCTATGTTGACGAGAACCGGAGTTATGAATTTCCGGTCACACACACACACACACACACACACACACACACACACACACACACACAC